CCCCCCACCCCCACCCACACCCACACACACACACACACACACACACACACACACACACGCGCATTAATACACGCTCACTTCAGCATTCATCGGTCCTCCACTTCTCTCTCTTAATGAAATCACAAGCACGGCACACAATCAAGCCTCTGGGCCTTGTAAGACGGGTGCACACAAGCCCATTTCCAGTTGTTATTAGCATGCTGTGACGAGACAGCCAAGGCACACATTCACAAACAACACAAAGGCACACAACCTGTCGTCTCATCACCGCCGGATCACCTGGATTTATTTCCGAGAAGGCACGGGTGTGCCTGCGCAACTTGACAATAAATCAAGGCATCATACACTCCAGAGAGACAAATCAAGATAATACACTCAAAAATGAAGAAGAAAAAAAAATTGAAGGATGGTGAGTGAAGGAGGAAGAGGGAAACTCTTCAGTGGTGGTGGCTAAATAAATAAATGGATGGATGTCTAACAGAAAGCATCGAGGGAAGCAAGAATTGGAGGGATTTGACACGCTCCCTCTTCTTCACGTCTGCTCGTCATGCTTTTCTTGCTTGGGGCTTCTCATCCGTGATTGGTCGGTGAAATCTGCAAGACAGAGACGGAAGAACACAAGAACAAAGTGGCGCGTTTCAAAACTTGACATGATTCCAGCATAAGAACTCATGTAGTCAAGTGCTCAATGCGGTTGTGCAAAGGAGGTCCTAAAACGGGGTCAGTCAAACAAGCTCGAAAAGACCACAGTATGCTTTTCAGCTGCTTACCAAATCAACCATAAAGTCGAGAGCTTCTGGCTATCTTAACTTGTTTATTTGAACGGTTCGTCCATGGCTACACACTGATGTGACGGCCTACTCATGAAGAAGGCCGACTTGCAGCAACCACAGCAGCACGAGGCTGAAAATAGCCAACAGTGAAGTGTTGCTTCGTTTAAATTTTGATCCACTGTCTGTGCAGTAAATAAAATGCTTGTGTTAGCTAGCAAAGACATAATCGGAAGAAATATTGTCTTGAAAAAAAAAAAAAAACATTATATGGTCATTAATGCATCCGTTTTAAGAGTTACGGGAGAGCGTATACTGAGCAAGTGTAGTGTGAAAAGGGGTATGGGCTACAAAATAAATTTTTAAAAAGTTTAATTGGTTTGAACCACTGCTGCACTCGACATTTTTACAGCAGTCAACTCTTTGCATGTAATAAAAGTTTCTTTTATTGATTACATATTTTCATGACTTGCTCTGGCACAAAAAGTTCCAAACCGAGTTGCCTTCAACCTTAAAAACGCCACTGTAGCCGGGAGGGGGGAAAAAAAAAAGAGATATAACCATTAAGAATTATGCTAGTTGGTGCAGAGAAGGAGCTGCTCAGAGCTGAGCCAGTCGCTGCAGGGTGCGACTAGACACAGCCTGTGTCAATACACACGCGAGCACACAATCACAGGAGGAGACGCAGGGTGACAAGGTTAGTGAAGCATTAGCTTGTGGCTGCTGGGGAGGCAAGTTGGCATGCAAACTACCTCGATGCTCGCCTGGCAAGCAGATATGCTGGCGGGCAGGTTAGTTGCTTACTTGCCAAGTACATCCGAGGGCATCGCAGCCTGTGCCGCCGAATTGGAGACGAGCGGCAAATGTGACAAGGGGACTTGAGCTTTACTGTTCCGCTCGCGTTCGGAAACATAAAAGGCAAACTGTGTTTGTTTGCTTACGTGCTAGCAAAGGCAGTATTTGCATGAAGGCAGTTCTATTTGAGGGTGAGCGCGAGTCACCATTCTCACCCGAATACTCGACGATTTGATGGGACATTATGCCTCATGCATAGTGTATGAAGTCGTTCCAGGATTTTCAAGTGACCCCAAGCACCTCCCGCAGCACACACAGCTCAATATGATTCCTCTAGAGCACAATTGGCCCCTCGCCATCCACACTTGGATAATTTAATGACAGCGGAAGTTTTTTTTTTTTGCCCGACATCTCGAGCAAGGGGGTAGGGCAGCTCAAAAGGTGTGCCCTAGATTAAAGTCTACACTGCTCTGCTATGTAAACGCCACACACTGAGACACTTGAACAAAACTGTGAAAGTCTATTGTGGGGAGGCGGGGGGGTGTTAGGTTTAAACTGTTTTAAGGTCACAGTCATTCAACAACATTCATTTGAAGCACAATTTGTCAATAATGGTCACGTACTTGCTATGAAAGAAAGAAAACAACACATTGCTCTGTGGGGGTGTTGGAGAGTTATAGATTGATATGTACGCTTAGACTCTTATATCTTATTGTTAATGCTTTGGTCACATGAATATTATTGTGTTGAGAGGTTTAGGATGTCATGGAACTTGGGGTCCAAATTTCATAGCATGACATGAATCGTATTTTATAAAGTATCATAGGTATTTCCAAATGAAGAGCCTCCCTTTTAGATGTATTCGGGATTAAACTAAAAAGTTGAAAAAAACAACTTCACTTTGATAGCACTTTTGGAGATGAAAAAGTTTGTTCATGTTAGATGTAAACACCCACACACAAACTACACACAGCAAAGAGGCAATTCTTCCCCCTGCTAGTTTCCATCCAATTAGTGAGCGGTGTGAGGTGTCGGAGAATTGTTGTGTTGGTTGACTGGAAATCTAATTCAAACGGCAGTGGTGTCAAAGCAACAGGATTCACGTGCAGGCTGCGTTAACACTTCCGCTGTCATCAGCTAACAAGCAACAGAGACAGCGCAAGCACACCTGAACGCACACTTGGCAACATATAAAGAGACATTGACACCGACACAGGTGATGGGGGGATAGGGGGTAAATAAATAAATAAATACTCGCTCACTCGACCCTTTCTCTGTGAAAAACAAAAATAATAGACAACTAGAAAATCAATAACTGTCTTCTCTGCTCAGCGCAAAAGGCACTCAGCTTGCCTTTCTCTTGGGAGGCCAAGAGACAGTTGCCAGGCAAACACTGTCAATCAGACACTTATCGTGGAGCTATGGTTGTGTGTGGGGTTTTTTTTTCCCGTTTTTTATTTTTTAACAAAACACACACAAGGTCATCAATGATTAGACTCGCTGTTAGGCCATCAAGAGAGTCAATTGGTTTTGTCCTTTACATGCAACAGCACCGACGGCTCTTCAATCAATTTGGATGTATGTTTGACGCACGCATCGGTTTTATTGACTGACTTAATTGATTTCGCTTTCACTTCGGGCGAAAGGATCCGAATGTAATGAGACGAGAAGTTGTCAAGTATGGAATATGGAAACGGCTTTGGAAAACATTGGAGACTGTTAGAACGTTTGATTAACCTAAGAAACATGTTTTGGGGATATGGGAGGAAACCGGAGTATCTGCAAAAAAACACTCACGAGCACAGGGAAAACACACAAACTCCACAGAGAAATTCCAATGATTAGATACAAAAAGGAAGACACACAACTACTAGTCCTCATTGGTGCCGAGACTTAAATTGGTCAATTCATTTTTTTGAACTTTACAATGAGATTGCTAATATTCAATCGAGTGTAACTGAAGTGACAAAGGTTCAGTGTTTAGGTGCAAGAGCTAATTACCGCATGGATTGTCATTTCTCGCACAAAAAAAAAAGCAAACTTGTAACCACATGCAAGCATGCTTGGTCAACTACTATTTTAATAATAGTGAATATCACTAATTCTGTCTGTCGGTATGAGTAAATGAACAACTTTGGCCGCTGAGTCACAATTCTCCAATAAAGCGTGTCCGGCATGTAATGAAGAAAAACACATGGCAGCTGAAACGTGGTGAGGGGAAATTGATCACACGATACATGGAAGTGGAGAGCAGAGGCAAAAGGCGAGAGGTTTAGCTGGCTGTATGATATAGCTTTCAGCCAAGGCTGCGGAGGATGGAGGGGTGTGTGTGGAGGAGAAAACGGCTAATCTTGATGTGGTCTGTGCCTTCGCGGGATGGTCGCCTTGGTGATGATGGATGACAGAGAGGTGGGATGGAATACAGAGAGATAGAGACACAAATATTGATATTCACACATGCTTGCCTAGGTCAATTTTCTACTTTCAAGTGTGTTACCAAGCGCAGTAATCTTAGAGGAAATTCAATAAATAACAAGCTTGCCGCAGCGCCGTTGCAGCTACAGCAGCCTAAGAAACAGCCAATCAAAATGCACATGCGCTCCCACACACACAAAAAAATACATTTCCAGGTTTTAAGCTAGGACCAGTCAGTCGGCTTCCGCCAAGCCAAACAAGTTCAGCACGTACAGTATACATGTATTGTGTTTTACAACAATATTCAACTGTATTTACTATTTCATATGTACCTGTGGATGTAATAGCGAAGCTCGGCAGTCTGTCATCAAAAGCGATGTACGTGACACCGGGTACAGCCAGTGAATGAGGGTGAGGCAGCCTCTCAAAACATCCACACACACTTTTTTTTTCTCCATTTACGATGTGACTCACAATGAAAGCATTGGAGTCAAAAATATACAGTGTATAACCAGTTATGAGTTGTGTTATTGAGTCCGGCGCGTGCACACAAATCAAATGTTATGCTTGTCCGGCTTCACAATAAAGACCATTTTATGTAAACTAACTGCTTCTTTCTTCTCACAGCGCACAAAAACAATTTGCAGAAAAGAGTGTTTGCCATGATGTGGTCAAACTTTTATTTTTTTTTTGGCTTACATTCGCATTCTGCTATGTGCTATTCTAGCACCCAAAGTTAGAGACAAGCACGACATTGTTCCTCTGTATATGAATGACCGTGAATGTCACTAATCAGAAATTCAATTTTGACTTCTCATCACATATGCATTTAGAAATGCACATGTTCCACGCACTTGTTGCGGCGAAATATTCCATAATCACTGTAAAACTGGAGTGGCACTTAATCGCGCATCTCTGAGGCCAGCGCACGCTCACACACCGGGGTGGACAAAATGCTTCCTCCAGGAGACTGATGGGTTTAAGTGGGTTAAGAGTGTGGAATAAAAAGGCAAGTGTCTCTCAGATGCTGTGGGCCCCTGTGGATGATTTTTAAAAGGCGCAGCAATAGCATTTGCATCCCGCAAATGGTTGGCAGTGGAGCCTCATTGAGTGTTGTGGAGGAGGGCGATGACACTTGCAGTAAGTGGTGGTCTAAGAAACATTTGTTCTTCAATGTGACTTTGACAATGGGGGCTTTTGTTAGATGTTGAAAGAGAATAGATGAGGACAGGAAAAGCCTTTCAACTCATGGTCTGAAAGTAAGGCTTTCCGGAAAACATAATTGTGACGGAAAATTAACTTTAATATTTAACAGTATACGAACAACTAAATCTCTCTCTCTCTCTCTCTCTCTCTCTCTCTCTCTCTCTCTCTCTCTCTCTCTCTCTCTCTCTCTCTGTTTTGCTCGCTCGCTCTCTTGCTCGCGCTACACACACGTGCACGCACACATGCACGTTGACCCTGTAGTCTGTGTTCACACTGAATGCAGATCCCATTGTATATGTCGAATGTTAAAATAATAAAAAGAAATAAATAAAGCATAAGGACAAAAAAAAAAGCACATGAAAAAGTGGAGGAGAACCTTTATGCTCATGAGGCAAGGAAGGCAGAAAT